TTTGATGCATGCCGACGCTTTATTCATGTTACCGCTAGACACCCGATATCTTTCCACGCCGTTAAGCTGATATCTCGCTGGAGAGTAGCCACGATCTCGCTCCCTCTACTCGGGAGCAAAAGCCGGTAAGAGACGAATTTGCAACGTTCCCCTTCCATCCTCCGTCTGTGCCTCCTCCAAAATTTCTGTCCGGCCCGGGGGAAGCCCCCCGGACCGGAGAGAGTGGTCCCCTGGGTGAAAAACCCCCCGGACCCGAGAGTGTGACGGCCCGAATCCCTGTGGGAGAAAGACGACCGAGGGCCATTCCCTCGTGGCAAGTTAAGAAGTTGTCCGTCGCTCGCGAAAAAACTCTCCTTCGAGACCCGACGACGAGTCTCGAACTCGAGTTCTTCGGCGTGCGGAAGAAGCAGCGTTCCAACTTAGCCACAGCCCCTCTGACGGAGAGTTCTAATTTTCGACTATTTAAGGTGCTCGATAATATTTTCGCGAGTTTTTTTTTTTTAATTTCCCCTTTTTTTTATCCTTTTGAATCGTATTTCGTCGTTCGATCGATGGAAAAAAAAAAACATTTTTATTTAAAAAAAAAAAAAAAAAAAAAAAATTGTAAGAATCGAACCGAGGAGTATTGATGCGTCGTTTGTCAGTCATCTATCCGTTACTTCGTCCGAATTTCGAATTCCATCTATTTTTCGATGTCTTTTCTAAGAAATTTGATTTTCATTCTATTTTCTATTTTTTTTTTTTTTTCTTTTATTTCGTTTATGTTCCAAACCGTAAATATTTTTGTCTTAAGAGAAAAAAATGTAACTAAATTTTGATTAAATAGACGATTAAATAGATTTACGATATTGATCGAATTCAAACGATAATTCAACAAAAACGATTAAAAAATTAAAATAAAGGAAAAAGTAATGAAAAAATATCGTTGAACCTTTTTATAAATATCTCGTAAATTAATAATGAAAAGAAACATCGTAATAATCATTGATAAATTAATAAAATGAAATGAAAATTAATAATTTTACGAATATTATAGCGAATATTACAGGGAAATATTAAATAAATCGTAAATCGCGGGACGATGTCGCGTCGATTCTTATTGTATACGTACGATTAAACGTAGTCGGTTTCATCGAACGCGGAACGAAACGGACGTATTCCTTTCTGCTCTCCGAATAAATGTTTTATCGATGTCGATATATTGAATAAAATATTAAAATGTAAATATTAAAATAATAAAAATTAGAAAAGAAACGTATAAAATTTGAATACGGAAAATAATCGTGTAATGCTTTCGAAAAAAAAATTCGATGAACGTGTATGATATGAAAGAAATAAAAAAAAAATAATAATAAAGAAATGATCCAATCGCGCAATCGTATCGTTGTCGTTCCTCCTTCGCTTCTTTTTGTCTAAAACGACGAAATAATGATACGTTCATACGTTGATCCGTATAAACGATAATTTAGAACTTAAAAAAAAAAAAGCTAAAATTCTATCTTTTTTTCTCCCTTTGGTCTCGAGCGTTGTAATAAAATAAGGGTTATAATAATTCGTACGAACTATAAATGAAATTAAAAAAGATTAAAATTTCGTTTAAAAATTAAAGATGAAAGAACCAAAATGATCTCTATATCTTGATACCGCGAGTGACGCGATGTTTACGTCGTTGAATATCGTCGCTCTGTTTCGATGACGATGATCTTTTGCGTAAAAGAATTTTCTATAAAATAGAATATTACGAGTTAAAATTGCCGATAAAATAATCGGCACTTTAGATGTTAACTTGAGATGTTAACTTTGATTCGAAATAATATTGAAAAAATATTAATTTTAATATTAAATTTGTTTGATTAAGCGTCGCGAATTAATTATATGTCTTATCTCTAATATCCGAGCACGATTTGCGAGAAATTATGTGTTATTTATTTAATTGAATTGATTTTGTCTTTTCATATATGAAAACTCGTAGTTAGCGAAATTTTATTATTATTAATTTTATTAATTCAATTCGTTACGTTGAACGATTGAATAAATGAGATAACTGCGAAATTTAATTTCGAGAAAATTTTCGAACGTTCGAAACGAATTTATTATATTAATCTGTTTAAATAATAATTCTTTTTTATAAAAATTAACTAATTTGATCAAATATTTAGTTCTTTTTTTTTAACGCGATACGTTTTTAACGTATTAAATATTTTTTGATAATGCGACGAGGACGAGAAGTAATGAATTATCCGGAAGAAAGTTACTGTCGATACGCTTCGTTAGTTACCAGAAAAGAAAACAAATGTCAAAGACATTTCGTACGTACTTTCACATTCCTGTCCTCGTATACGAATGATATCTGTATCGACGCGATACATGTTCGTTTGTTAAGAAAAATTTTCGAAAAGAAAAACGCAAAGGAATGCGATTGATGTTTCGATGTAAACTCGTTTCCCGTTAATATCTCTCGTTGCGAATAATTATTCGTAATAATGCGAATTTATTCTCGTATCGTCGTTTTTCGTTTCGATTCGAGATAGGTATTGGGAGAGAAATCCAGCGAGATCTGAATAAGATAAAATAAAATTTTTTATTTATGAACAATGTCGATTGTCGTAACATTCGTGATTATACGCTGAACGAAGATGGCGTGATTTTAAAACGATGCGGAGATCCCGATGCGGGACATATAAATATGAAATATATTTTATGGTTTCTTATCGTCGTCTTTGTACCAATCCTCGCTACAAAAATATGAATATTCGTAATTATTTAATTTGTTTTTATTTTTGATCTATTCTAGAATGTAATAATTTTGATATTTCGCGAATTTCTTCCGTTCGTAAATTATACCGTTATTAAATTATATATACCAGCCGGGAACATTTTCCGGTGCATCGCATCTTTGTTGTTCCTCGTTGTAAACGGTCCCATCGCTGCAACCTTGTTCTCGTGGTGTTACTCCGTTCAAACAGACGTAAAACTTTTGACAGTCATCTGGATGAGCGAATTTCGGATGATCAACGACCATTCCTCTCGTGTCCACTTGACTTTCTCTTGGACATTCGAAGCCGTCTTTCAATTTTTTGTCTACTACTCCGCATCCCTGTCGAAGAAGAAGAAATCGAATTTAATGCGAGTGTATCGTCCGTATTGTCGTTTCGTTAATTTCTGTATTTATATAATTATTAACGATAAGTGATTACTGTTGTGAATGATCATGCGTATAATAAATTCGACGTTTAAAGACGTTCGATTGTCCGATTACCGCGACAATTGTAAGTAATGCGAAGTTATCATCGAAATTGGTTGAGATATTACGGGCTGAAAAAAATAGTAAAGGTTAAAACGTATGTGTAAAATATGAGAAAACTTTTTTACTTCTCGACCAGCGCTGTCGGGCCAAACGCATGTTCCGCTATACTCGTCGAAGTGTAATCCGGTGGTGCATGTAATTTCGATAGCTTCGCCATCGATGCAATTGTAAAAAATATTACAAACGGATGCATCCGGATGAGCGAAAAAACCATTCCTTCGAGGACATTTCTTGGTCGGTTGAGGAGGTTCTGCGAACGTGAAAAGATATAACGGGAATTTAAAGCACTTTCGTTACCTATCGTCATCGTATCCTGTATGTCAAGGACATTAACCGCAAGAGCCAATGACACGCGTAACGTGTAACTTCTACTCGAGTAACTCTATTTTATCCCGACGAACGTACAATTTTCGATATTCTTGATATTCGTATTTGTATTTGTTATAAAAATGTGGAAAATAATCAAAGATTTTTTCTTATTTTTACAACTGTTCTTCTTATCTTTTAGATTAATTATTCTACATAATTTATCGCTATTTTATGTTACTATCTTTAATCGGGTTATTCGAAACGCGTAAAGTTTAAAAATTATATCTAACGATCTTACGCAATTCGAGACGATCTCCGCAATCAACGTTGAATACGTGATCGCATTTGTTTACTTTTCGATTCAAGGGATCGAAAACGAGTCCATCTGGACAAAGTTTCTCCGTGGCGATGCCATCGATGCATTCGTAATATTTGTCGCACTGTTTCGGATCTTCGTATTGACCGTCTTTACTCGGGCAATTGAACGCACCGTCTGTAACACAATTTCACGAATGAATAAACTTTCTCTTATATTATTCGTTTTGTATAGCGTATATATAATATTTTTTAATTTCTTCTTCTTCCTTTACGTTCGTTTCTTCTTTGACTTTATCGCATGATTATTGACATTATCGTATGATATGATATTAAAAAAAAAAAAAATCAATGATAAAAATTTCGATGCAACTCGCTTAAATATTAAAAATGCAACGAGAGAAGAAAAAAATTTCTTAAGTTTCTCTACGTTGCTTTGTAATTGTATTTAATAATTGTATTTAATGCGTAATAACGAAAATCGGAACGCTTCGAGAAACGAATAAATAAGAAACGAATACGCGAGCGAAAAGTATTGTGGTAACGATCGAGCTGATCTAATCTTTTCATAAATTTCTTATCGGTATTGTTTTATTTATTTTTTATATAATTTATCGGTTTTATATACGTACATATACATCTTCGCGTATATGTAACCATTTATAGATGCTTATGCAACATCATCGATATAATATAGTAGATTTGACATTTACGCTTTAGAAAGTTTGAATGTTTCTTACACGCTCTCTTCTCGAGCGAAATGAATACATCTGGAATTTATTTACTTGCTTGTTAGAGACACGAACGTTTATTTTGCACGCGGAATAAACGATGAATTTTAGATTGCATTTAAATTAAGTTAATAATTAAAAACGATGATTATGAATATCGGAGATTCAAAAGTAATTATCTTAGAAGTGTGACAAATTGTTATTCAGAATTGAAGAGAAAGTCTGAGATCTGTTTCGGTGAAATCATTCCTTTCGTTCTCGGTAATTAATCTACGCAGTTTTTACTTTTACTTGAAAAATATATACGATACGATTCTAATAGTTTTATTTTTTGTTTTTTAAACAATTATTATTGTTTCTTGCCATATTTATGTATGATAATAATTTTATATTAATATTAATTCATTCAAAAAGGAAATAGATTGTTTTTATGTTTTAAAATAAATGTTTAAAATATGTTTTAAAATAAGAAAAAAATCGTGTAATTATAAGTGTCTGAATTAATCGATCAAAATTATATATATTGGTTTGAATTACATAATGAAATATTGAATACGATAAATATAAAATTAAAACCATAGATATATATGTAGGCTTTAATGACGAAAAAAATGATAAAAAGTTCGACAAAAATATTTTTAATTAAAAATATTTTTAATTTATAATTTTAAGACGATTTTTTAAATTTTATTATTTATTATATCGAGTATTTTATTTTAAACTTTGCGCGAAAGATTATTAAAATATGATACTTACGTGTTACAACAACCACAGCCAATATCGTTACAAAATAATATACGTTAATCATATTTCTCTTCTTCTTTTTTTATAATTTGATAAAAATGATTCGCGCGATTTATCGAATCGACGATTATTCCAAACACTGGTCACTGAGAAATAGACGGTATATTTTAGTCCTCTTTCGAATTGTGTCTCTTTCGCGAAACACTGCAGCTTCTTAACGACTCGCCATAGTCTATACCTTCTTGGTCCCCACTACGTTTCTTCCTTACTTTCGCTTCGTCTTCATAGAATCAAGATTGATCGTCGGAACCACGCGCTTTTACTCTTCTTTCTCTTTTCTTGGTATGTATATTTTACATACCGATCGGTAAAATAACCGCTACGCTATCAATCATTATCGCTGTTTTCATCTTCTTTTCCGTATCTTCTTCCGTATCTCCGTATTATTCTTCTTCTTTTTTGTATCGAAGAATTCAATTTATTGCAATTTTTATAAATGATCGTTAGATTCTTCGAATTTCGAATGTTTCGAATAATGTGAATAATTATGATGCTGTTGATTATTGTGTTTACGCGTACTCGTACTCTTTGATTCTACTCTATTATTATATATTTCTAAATAATAAAAATTTACTTATAAATTTAATTTGATGTATCAATGAGTAAATAGATAAATTAAATAGATAAATGATATTTATTTATCATTCGTTATGTCATTCGTTTCATAAATTTCTTTCTTAATATTTTTCTTGCCACTTTTGCTCTATTATTTCCGTTAACGTATCGTATCTTTCATTTTGATCTTCTACGTTTTATCGATTAAACTCGTCATTATTTATATAAAATATTATGATAGATGATATATTTTTATAAACGATAGTATATTATAAATGTAATTATACAAATATATAATTATATAACATTATATAAATAACATATTGAATTGTGAAGTAAGTGATTTATATTAATTGTCGGTTGAAATTATCTTAATCTTCGATCGCAATTTTAAAAGTTTCATGTATATTCTAATGTTATATTATATTATATTTCTAAAAATAATATTTGTATTTATCGAATTTATCGAATCATGATTTCTCGAGAATTAATATCGATATCATTATTATTAACGCGTGAAATTTCTGTTTGTATTTTCTTTTTTAAAATATAGATTCGCGAAATACTGTAAAAATTCCGAAATATATATATTTTTTATAATTTTTGATTTAATATTTTTCTTATATAAAATTTGTCTTATAAATAAAAATAATTCTTCTGATCGATTATTAGAAAAGCGACGAAATCGTATATTTGATCCGTTGATCGATAGAACAAATTTCGAAAATATTCAAAGAATTTTCGATGACTTTCGTTATTCGTGAAAATTTATAGACAATTCGAATCGATTATTCGATTCGAAAATGCATCGATAATAAGTGCAAATAAGAATAAAAGATTAATCTGTTTATGAAAGATATGATATATTATTACGAATCTTTATATGTATGTTATTAAAAACAACAAGAAATCTAATAAATTACACGCGTATAATATTTGTTTACGCATGCATTCAAATATATATTTCTTATCCTAATCTTTACGTGCAATACTATACACGGTTATAAGCGGCCAACGTGGCAGCAATATGTTTAAGATGGTACGGACATATTTTCGGATAAATTCTCTCGTTTATTGTTATTGATGCGTTATACCGATTAAAAACTTAATTAATTATAAAATCCAAAATTTTTAATCGCTATTTTCTCCACTTGTTAAAAATCGTCGAATTTGCGATTTATTTACCTCATTGAGAGGAACGAAACGAAAATATATATATAGATATATAGATATAGATATCCAGATCGAAATATTATAAAAACGAGCGATTTAAGTAACGAAAAAAAATGAAAGTATTCTTATAAATACTCGAAAAATACTCAAAAAAATAATTGGAATAAATTATAATAAAATGATTAAAGTAAAGAATTTATGTATAATTCGTATATTATTTAACTATATAATATATATATATATACTAATTTTAAATGTATAGATTTTAACTTATTACACGTATATATTTATATAAAATGTAATTTGAATGTGGCGCTGAAAAGAAATTTATCTAGGAAATATTCGATTCTTTTATTTGGCTAATATGACATAATATAACTATTTTAATTTTCTCTTACCAAAAATTTCTTCGTATACATATGCCAATCTTATAGATGTATGTATATGTTCCTTGATTCATGCGAATGCTATTAAGTTTTTCAAGGTGATTTATAAAAGTTAAAAATAAGTGCATAATTCAAAAAAATGTCAACTATGGATGATGTTCTTGAAAGTTGGGAAGAAATTGAAGAATCAGAGGTAAGTTATTTTTTACGTTATATTTGAAACGATATTCTTTGAAGTTGATTTGATAATGAAATAATTACCTTAACCTCTACTATGGATAATGTTTTTGTTTTGAAGGATTAATTTTAAATTTAATACTTTGATGATTTAATTTTAAATATTATAATCGTGAAATCTGTTTTTTTTTAATTACGTTTATATATAAATTGATTACTATTGAATGAATGTATCCATATGGTCAATGATATTTATTGATAAAACAAAAATATATTTTATTTGAAAATCCACATTTTATATATATTTAAACTTATATTAATTATAATATGTTGATATACTTTTGATATATATACGTATACACGTATATAAAAATAATATGAAATACGAAATACAAGATATTTTAAAGCTAATATTAAATTACTTAACGTAATGAATAGAAATATTGATACTATATGTGATTTGATATGAAGAATTTATAACTGTTGAAAAAGTTAAAAATTAGAAATTAAAGTTAAAATTTATATATCTTTCTTCCTATGATCTTATTCGTTTATATGTAAAAATATACAATTGCCAATAAAAATTATTTTTTTCTAACATTTCTCATATTATGATTGGATATATATATTAATTATATATTATTTATAAAAAAATATAAAAATATTTTAATGATGTATAAGTCGAAAAAAAGTCATTTTTTGTTCTTAATTTTATTCTATAAATATTTTTTAATTAAACGTCCAAAATAATTTTAAAATGATACATTATTTATATTATTAGAAAGAGAAAGTAATTTATGTAATGATGCAAAATTCAGAAACGATAAATATAAATAAAATAATTGTACAATTTGTATAAAATTTTAAAATTGAATAGAAAAATTAAATTTATCGTTCAATTTTTATATTTGATAAGACAATGACATTGTTATTCGTTATCGAATAATGGATTGCAAAACTTAAATCTTGAATATTTTCTGATAGAAAATAGATTTAAGAAAAAATTTCTAAACGTTACGTATAAAATATAAAATTTAATTAATTACTTATCTTGAAGAAATGGAACAAAATTAACGAAATATTATTTATCTATTTTTTATATATTTATTTTTCAAGTATATTGAAAGAAATATTAAAATGCATAGTTTTATATTATGTAAAAATCAATTTGGTTTTTGTATAACTTAACGTAACATGCATAATATGTAGGGTGTGTACATAATAATATAACACATAATACGCGTTAAATGGTTTATTTATACAACTGCAAGAATAAATATTGCAAGAAAACGATTCAACGATAACGATGAAAAAATTTTTTTCAATAATTACAAACATACATACATACATTTATTTATAGATTTTTTCAGCATTGTTAAATCAAATAACATTATTTTACATATAATATTTTAATCTAAATTTTGTTTGTGTGTGTGTATGTGTGTGTGTATGCGTGATGTGTGCATATATATATATATATATTTGTTAATGTTATCATATTATTATAAATTTAAAATTTGATGAGTTTTAGGTGCTCAACAAAAGATTGGATGCTCTTCAGTTAAATGCAGTAGAAGCATTAGAGGAAATAGAATCTTCTAGGTGAGATTAGTTTATTTAATTATTAATTGTAAAATAATTCATATTTTCATTCATAAATTTAAAAAAGAATATAATGAAATTTTTAAGAATTACTATAATGTATTAAGTATTGGGTTGAATGAAAAGTTATTGAATTATTGAATGAATGGTAGGATATTATGATATTTTATCGTATAATTTAATTCAGTTTTTTTTTCTTTTTTTTTTTTTTTTTTTTTTTTTTTTTTTTTAAAA